AAATAGATGGGGAAGAAATGGAGATAGTGACAGATTTTATCTTCCTGGGCTTCTAAGATCACTGCAGATGGGGACGGAAGCCAAGAAATTAAAAGACGTTTGCTCCTGAGGAGGAAAGCTATGGCAAATCTAGACAGCATAGAGAAAACACCTTGCCAACAAAAGTGCGTAGAGTCAAGGCTATGGTTTTTCCAGTTCCAATGGATGTCTGTGAAAGTTGGACCATAAGGAAGGCTGAGCGCCAAAGAATTGAGGCCTTTGAACTCTAGTGCTGGAGAAGACTCCTGTGAGTCTCTTGGACTACAAGGCGATCAAACTGGTCAGTCTTAGAGGAGATCAACCCTGACTGCCCTTTAGAAGGCCAGATCATTGGAGAGGAGCCTAATGGTGGGAAAGATGGAGGGCAAAAGAAGAAGGGGACAACAGAGAATGAGGTGGCTGGATGGAGTCATCGAAGCAGATGGCGTGAACTTAAATGGTCTCCAGTGGATAGTAGAAGACAGGAAGGCCTGGAGGAACGTTGTCTATGGGGGTCATGATGGGTTGGACATGACTTTGCAACAAACAACAATACCTGCAGGGTCAGATGGAAAATAGAGTCCCTCCCCAGATATTTGTCCCTGCTAATATGGACGAGAGGAAGAAATATTAACAAAAATCAATCATCTATTATGCCAACATTCAATATTCCTTAAGGGGTTCGCAAAATTAATATGTCAAAATCACCCCATGCTTGCTACTCTGCATGAATACTAATGAAGTACATACAGAAAAACAAGATCCAGAAAAGAAAAGTAAAGAAAAAAACAAGTTAGACATTTGTCTGCTTATTAGGCATGAATATGGTGGAAACCCCCATTGCCAATCTTGGATTAGAAAAATATGGAAAATGGGTAGAGGGGAATTAATGCTTTGATTTAGGAGGTGGTTAATGCTGCCTTACTTGAGGGCAAGAGGCCATTGTCCTTGAAAAAGCCAAGACTGCACTCTCCTTGATTGAAGGCATCTCTTGAAATGTGGCTGCCTTGAGTGTCCTCCTGGATGAACATCTCATCCTAGAACAGGAGTCTTTGCCCAGTTTACGGCAGCTATTTTATTTATTTCTCATAGGTCTTTGCAGATGTAATCTCAAGACTCTCGGCAGCTAACAAAGTATAACGAGACAATAAATACAAAAAGACAAAATGCAACTCAAGAGCCAGATGTGGTCCCAGATAGACTAGGAAGCCCCGAGGACAGTGACTGACTCACATCCTCATCACCACAAGCTTCACTACCTGGAACACCCTGCCTCAGAAGTCGCCTTCACAGACAACCTGGAAGCTGCAGTGGTACAAAATGCAGCTGCCCCAATGAGAGAATGATTATGCCCATTTTGGGGGTCATGGACCTTGTTATCAATAGGTTTCTGAGTCAGCTCCCAAGGCGCTGGGCTACCATCTCTGAAGCCCTGCAGAGCTTGGCTGCAGGAGATTGGCTCTCCATCCAACTTCTTTGCAGACTCACTCCTTCTCTCTATTGGTCTCCCACACTACAAAATGAATGTGTATAAAAGTACTCCCTGTTCTCATTTTCAACAAGATTGTGAAAACAGGCCGTTGAAGCTTGATTTAATAAAGGTTTTTATGCTGATAGGATTTGTGTTTTCTTTGGCGTTGTTGAAGTCTCATTTTTTTGTTCTTGCTTTGGTTGCCATTACTTCTATTTATATCTTTTAATCCTCTTATTCAAAATTGTCCAGAATCTAGGGAACTGGACAATATATAAATGTATGCAAATAATAGCACTACCAATAGCACTTATATAACTCTTCATAGTGCTTTACAGACCTCTGTAAGCAGTTTACAAAATCAGCATATTATCCCTGGATCTTCATTTTACTGACCTTGGAAGCCGGAGTCAAACTTGAGCTGGTCAGACTCAATAAATATATGCATTTACCATAGTAACATATGTACAAGGATTTTCTCTTCAAACACAAAACACTTATAGAAAGTATAGGGTTCCATCTTAGGCCCAATACTCTTCAATACTTTACAAAACTAATAAATAATAATTAAAAAATAATATCTTCATAAATGACTTAAATGAAGAAATAGATGGGGAACTCATCAAATTTGCAGATGACACAAAGTTGGCAGGAATATCCAACACCCCAGAAGAGCTCAACCTGTGTAAGCAGTGGGTTGGTAAGCACTTGCACGCATGTGCACCAGCTTGCCACTTGCGCATCCCAGTTTCCCTCCCCACCCCCGCCTTGCTGGGCCACTAAGTCGCAAAGATTGGGGATTGATGAACTAGAAAGCCTCCAAGGTCCCTTCCAGCTCTATTCTGATTGATTGATTGATTGAGACATGAGTCTACAACTGAAACAGGCTGTATTTCTCCTTGCAATATTGCATAGAACCAAATAAAAGATTCAAAAGCAGCAACTTTCAAGGACTCTGAATTCAAAATAAGCACATTTGCATTTCAACTTTTTGCTAAGGTTTTGTAAAAATGCATTACATATTACATTGCAAATCCCATTGCTTGTTTGATTCACATAATACCCTACAAACAACAGATGCATGGAGGAAAACATAGGTAAGTCTTATTTCCAGCTAAATCAACAACTGATTGCCTTTTCCCATAAATGTAAAGAAAACCAAGCATTTAACCTAATTTCCAACTGTGCCACACTATTTGCAGCTTTTATAATCCAATTTATAACTTAAGATGACTTAAGAAAGGAAAGCCTTTAAAATAAAATCATAAAAGCACAGTACACCAAACCATGGAAGTAAACAAGTAAAGATTTAAAAAGTTGGACTTTTTAATACAAAAATATTTTCCTGGCAGGGAAATGATAATAAGCACAGAGGACATTCTGCCTCCATCTCTTGCCCATCACTCAGCAAGGCCATTTAGCCACGTTAGACCTCCATCTGGATTCCACCATCTGAAATGGGGGGGGGGGTGTTCCTTGAGATTCCCAGCCCCAGCATACCCTCAGGGCCAAAGGCAGGCAGCAGCCTCCTAGTCTGAATTGCTCTGACATGGATTCAGAGGTGGCATTCAATGTAAACAGGCCACAGGAGTACCCACCCAAGAAACTGAGAGGGTGGAATCAAAGGAAAAATGAATTGCTTTCTCCATGCACTGGGGCTATCGAAGGAGATACCCAAGTTCAGAGTTTCTCAACTTTAGCAACTTGTGTTGCTAAAGATGTGTAGGCCTACCTACCAAATTGTTTTGCGACAGACAACATAATCTAGAAATGTCCTTAAAATTAAAAAAAAAAGATTATCCTCTAATTAACTTTAATAACCTCCGACGCCCTGTTTTTGCAGAGCAGGATACAACCTCAAATGTGATGCAATATTACATCCAAAAAGAAGAAGTAAAAAAGCTCCTTCAAAGTTTTTCTTCATGCCAGCATAAAGAGAGGGAAAAGATGTTTCCTCTGGCTTCCATTGCACACGAAGGCAGACTAGCTTCCTAAATTAAACGCATGCTTTAGAAATGGTTTAATGCTTCTTTTATTATGAAGCACTTTCTTTACATATCGCTGCATCCATGAAGGAAGAAACGTGGAAGGAAGGAAGCGACATTTCAAGCATACCAAGGAACATATTTGGGGAACAGAAGGAAGGTAAAAAGATGCCGCAACAGGCAGAAGGAGCCAGAAAAGAAGCTCTATGCAAAAGGCAGGACTGGAGAAGCAACACAGGGCAAGGCCGGAGGAATTTCCGTCCTTCCCCTCGAAATGGGAGGCCTCTGATCTCAGGCTCCTTTGGAAAACACCCTCCACAATTTGCCCCTTGGAAGGAGAAGGCCGAAAAGAGGAATCTCTCCACCCAGGAGATGCACAGCCGGAACAGAAAGAAGCATCCCTGGCAACTTTGAAATGGCTGGACTGCAAGTCCCAGACTCCGCAGCTGGCATGAGGAATTCTGGCAGTTGCAGTCCCCTCATCTGAAAGAGTGAGAGAGAGAGGCGAAAGAAAAAAAGAAAGGTGAAAGAGAGAGAAAGAAAGAAAGAAAGAAAGAAAGAAAGAAAGAAAGAAAGAAAGAAAGAAAGAAAAAGAGACAGGGAGAAGGAGGAAGAGAAAGAGAGAAAGAAAGAGAGAAAAGAAAGAGGCAAAAGAGAAAAGAAAGAGGCACAGGTGAAAGAGAAAGAAAGATAGAGTGAGAGAAAGAGAGAGGGAGAGAAAGGGAAAAGAAAGAGGCGAAAGAGAACAAGAGAGAAAGAAACAGAAAAAGGCAAAAGAGAAAGAAAGAAGGAAGGGAAGAAAGAGAAAAGAAAGAGGGGAAAGAGAACGAGAGAGAAAAGCGAAAGAGAATGAAAAAAGGAAAGAATGAGAAAGGTGAAAAAGAAGGAAAGAGAGAGAAAGAGAGGGAGAGAAAGAGAGAGAAAAGGAAGAAGCGAAAGAGAATGAGAGAAAGAAATAGAGAAAGGCAAAAAAGAAAGAAAGAAGGAAGGAAGAAAAAAGAGAGAGAGAAAGCTGAAAGAGAAGGAAAGAAAGGAAAGAAGGAAAGAAAAAGAAAGAAAAGGAAGGAAGGAAGGAAGGAAAGAGAGAGTGAAAGAGAAGGAAAGAAAGAAGGAAAGAAAGAGAAACAAAAAAGAAGGAAGGAAAGAAAGAAAGAAAGAGAAAGGTGAAAGAGAAGGAAAGAAGGAAAGAAAAAAGACAGAAGGAAAGGAAGGAAGGTAGGAGGGAAGAGGGACGCGCTTCTCTCTTCCGTCACCAGAACCCCCGAGGCCCCCGGCAATCCGGCTCCTTCTGCGTAGGGGGGGGGGGAACTTCGAGACAAGCCCTCCCCCCTGACAGCCGGTCAGACTGGAGAAACCGCCGAAGTCCCCGCAAGAAGCTCCTTTGCCCCACAGGGCAGATTCCCCCCCCCACTTCTCCCTCCCTCTCAGCTCCTCGCCGATCACGGGGCCAAGGAGACCCGCCCGGAGGGAAGAGCCATGGGGGAGGGGGGGTCTCGCTCCCTCCGCCGCGCCCGAGCCCGCCGTACCTCAGCCGCGGCCCATCCAGCGCGCGCCCCTGCCGCCGCCGGACCTCTCCCTCCTTCCCTGCCCAGCGCCGTCCCCGCCGGCTCGGCCACGCCCCTCCCTCCTGGCCACGCCCCTCCACGCGACGGTTGCTACGCTCTATACGCCGCCCTGCGGAAGGGAGCGCCTTCACGTGGACGGGGGAAGGGAGTCAGGTGATCAGAGTCACGTGACATCATCCGTAGGTGGTGCGGGGCTCCTTCAATCTCCCGGACTTTGGACCCCCTGCAAGGCGGGAGGGGGCGGCGCTGGGGGGGAAATCGCGGGTGAGGATGGCACTGCCGAGCCTTATGAGGCTCCAATTCGCTCAGATTTCCCAGGGTCCTCCTGAGCCCATGTAGCAGAGCTCCTGGGGGCAACCAGGGCAGCATTTTTCACAAATCTTATTAAAAGATGGGAACTTTATCATTAAAATGATAAAGATGACACCAAACTGGCAGGGATAGCCAACCCTCCTGAAGACAGGCTTAAGATACAGAAGGATTTTGACAGACTTAAACATGGGCTGCTAACAAAATGAAATCCAATGGTGAAAAAAGGTTCTACATTTAGGCAAGGAAAACAAAATGCACAGGTACAGTATAGGTGGTACCTTGCTCAATAGTGGTAACTGTCACAGGGATCTTGGCTTTTAAAAGTTATATCTTTCACTACTACAAATAGAGTTGAGGGTCTTTCTTTCCTGAACATCCAAGCTGGGACAGGCCTGACACTGGGTGCCTTAACCACTAGAACAAACAGCCTCTAATAGTCCAGAATGCTGTGTTTTGCAAGGACTGGACATTAGGGCCCCTTGCCACCAATTCTCCAGGCCCACCACTGTTGCCAAGAGGTATCAGGCATCATTCAAAGTGATGGTTTTAATATGATTGACACATGGGCACTTTCACTTTATCCTTCTACTCCTTCCTCCCATTGAAATTTTCAGCACTATCCCATTTCTGAGAAGTGGCAGCAGAGTGGTAGGGGTGGTGGTGGCACCCTGTTTCTTTGCAATGGCCCTGGTCTTCTCATAGAGGTGAAATTGCTTCCCTTAATAATCTTTCTGAAAAAACGCAATGTCACAAAGCACAATGCTATGTAATTTTAACTTAATCGGAATCTTCTGAATTTGTTCTTTCTCACACATACACTCCATCCATACAAACCCATGTCAAATGACAAAGGCTGGGTTAAAAAATGATTCAAGGAGGGGTGGACTTTATGACCCCTTTTTTACCCCCAGGTTTTTGCTTTGATTAGCTGGGATTGGATCCCCCCCACTCCATGTGCTGAGGCCCAACTTTGACTGGTTCAAGTAATTTGTTTTTCATTCTGACTTGTTTCGTTTTTATCTACCTTCCCAAAGGGATCTTTTAGACCAGTGTTTTTCAACTACTGTGCCGCGGCACACTAGTGTGCCGTGACATAGTGTAAGGTGTGCCGTGGGAAAAACCCCCGCCTATATTGAATATAGGCACAGAGTTAAAAAAATTTAACATTTTCTAATGGTGGTGTGCCTCGTGATTTTTTTCATGAAAAAAGTGTGCCTTTGCACAAAAAAGGTTGAAAAACACTGTTTTAGACACATTTCTGGCACTTTGTCTTCTCTGTTTATATGCTTACTTCATCTTTAGGTTACAGTAGCTTCAATCTCGACTCAGCCTCATTCACAGCCTCCTTTCCTACATGATTTCACCCAGCATCCCTTTTTCATTCTTCCAATTGGCCCAATTCCATATATTTCTCAATTATTTTTACTCTGTTCCGAGCAGTTCAGGTAGGTCACAATTAAATTTGATTTAGTGCAATTTGTAAATTGATACCAGGTCACGCTGGAATCAAAATTCAGTTAGTGCAAGGCTAACAATGTGGGCAGTTGAAACAAGCATCTGCAGTAGTTGTTTGTGCAAAAAGTTCCAAGTGAGGAAGGCCCAGCAAAGATAAGGCTCCTTTTGAGAAAACAGGAGAACAGATATGCTTTGGATGTGGGCTTATCCTCTTTTACTGTAATAGTGTTTTTTGTTAAAATAAAAATGTATGGTTAAAATTTTAATTGTCTATTTCCATCAAGCTGAAATTATTACATTATTTTCCATAGCAGTATGACTTCAAATGGTGCAAATGCAAATAGCGTGAACCTTTTGTGAAATTAATCACAGTAATCAAAACACATTTGTAATCTTTTTTTAGGTCTGCTTTCCATTCAGTCTTTTGCGAAATAATGTCAGGTTCCAAAAACCAAAAAGACACATTCTGATTCTTCCAAGCAGATTTTGTTTATTGTTCTTATCTCAAAAATCTTGCACACTAAAACATGCTACTACCCCCATAAAACATTTACTCTCAGAACTATTAAGGAAGGGAGGTCTTGACGCTCTTACTCTCACATGAACCATCTGAACTGAGTTATTTCTTGTCCCTCTGGAATGCCCCCCCTCCCTCCTGGAATCTGAACTACATTCCATCACAGCTGTGTGGATAATGCATGCAGGTGTAACATTCAGACAAAAACCCAACTTACTTGACTACCAGTTCTGCATTACAAGCGTATATACATTATGACCCCAAATTATTTATTTTCAATACTTTTATTATATCATAAGTAGCACAGAAGAGTGCCAGGTAGGGGGGGCACAAAGAAGCTCAGATTACTTCCCCATTCCCAGAGGTATCCCAAAGTCACTTCTAGTCTTCTCTCCATTCTTTTGGAGTAAGTCGGCCAATTGGAGAGAAATTCCATACAAGTGGAAGTTGAAGACAGGCCTGCAAGAGTGATCAGAAATAAAGCCTTAATCATTGCAGCAATTCTCTTCACACAACATATTTACCCACAGCCCAAGTGCCTGGAATGATGCCACAAAGCCCACTTTAACAGGCAAACCCAGCAACTGTTGGAAGAAAGGTAGAGTTCTGCCCTGGTTGCAGTGAAGTCTGCCAAATACTTACATAGGTCCAAATGCCAATACCAAACGCCACTCCAGAAAGGAGAACGAGGTTGCCATACTTGTCATGGAAATCAGGTTCAAGTTTGCGGTGAGCCTGTCTCTTCACCGTATGTTGAATGCCACGGGCTAGAATACAAAGCTCTCTCAGTTGAACCGCCAGTTCACCAATCAACCAAGTAAATTGACATGAAGCAGGTCTTATTGTTATCCTGTTTTTGATGCAGAATATACTAAGTGCTGAAATTCAATGAATGGCAATCATGGAGGGACTGGGCTACTGTCCCCCTTTTCTGGCATTTTTAAACAGAGGCTGGCTGCTTTTTATATTTTCTAATTTTGAAGCTGTTCAACGTTTACAATCAGACCTAAGGTTAGCTGACTTCCTACTGTCACAGGCACATTCACAATATTTCTGAATGAACCCTTAACAAACGTAATTATGCAAATTATGTGTGGGAGTAGGAATGGATTTCCAGAGGAAAAAATTGCAGACTACAGGAACCATTTGCACCACTCAGGTGACCCTGAGGATACAGATAAACCTCCAAGTGGCCTCAGGAATCCTCTAAAAGGATGCAAATGACCAGCTGTCTGCAAGGAATATAAATCTTTCCATACCCCACCATCCAGTCAGAGCTGAAGAAGAAGAAGCTTCTTGGATGATCGGGCATCCTCCATTGCGCTGGCATCTCCTACTGGTCTTGTTGTGATTGTTTTGATTGTCGGGCCAGAGTTGTGGAGCGCAGTGGCGGGATACAAACTTTTTTACTACCAGTTCTGTGGGCGTGGCTTGGTGGGCATGGCAGAAGACGGATACTGCAAAATCCCCATTCTCTCCCGATCAGCTGGGACTCAGGAGGCAGAGAATAGATGGGGGCGGGGCCAGCCAGATGTGGTATTTACCAGTTCTCCAAATTACTCAAAATTTCCACTACTGGTTCTCTAGAACTGATCAGAATCTGCTGACTTTCACCCCTGGTCGAGCTGACATTTATCCTTCTCCTGGGTCAGGCTGCCAGGGACTTGAGAATCGGCTGAGGGTTGGAGGCATCCAGGGCAGCTGAGCCAAACCCAGCAGGTTGATGGGGAAGCTCAAACTCCCCTTTGCTTTCCCTGCAAGGACTGGTTGGCTGCTGAGGAGACGGGAAAGGCCCTGCCCGGCAGGAGGAGGGTGGCGGCACCCCAGGCAGTCCTCGAGTTACGGCCACACTTGGGCTCAGCATTTATGTTGCTGAGTGAGGCATCTAAGAGTTTGACCCTTTTACGACCTTTCTTGCTATGGTTGTTAAGCGAATCACTGCAGTTGTTAGCTGTCACATGGTCTTTAAGTGAATCACGTGACCCCACCCCCGGACGCTGCAGCCGCCATAAATGAGACACCCGCCAAGGCTCTGAATTTTGATCACGTGACAGCGGGGGAAATGCATCAACGGTCGCTAAGCGTGAAAAAACGGTCCCAAGTCACTTTTCTCAGCGGCGTCGCAACTTCCAGCAGTTACTTACTAAACTGTTGTAACCCGAGGAGCACCATCTTTCCCCTCCCCCCACACCTCCACCAGGCCTGCCCGGGGGGGGGGGGCTCCGGGGCAGCAGACTCACCCGAAAGGCCCAAAGCTCTCCGCGCCAGAGGGAACATCGCGCAGCGTCTTCTCGCAAGGCTTCTGCGGTCACCTAGCCGGGCAAGAGGGGAACAAAATGGCCGCTGACTTGGACGTCACACTCCTGCGCCCGCCGAGGAGCGATGCATCCTGGGACATGTAGTTTGTTTGGGGGGGGGGAGAAGAAAAAGAAGAAAGGGGGG